ATTTTTGAGATAGCCAGCTGAGTTAGCATGGCTATGGTTTTGTACATTTCTTCTTTGGTGATTAATATAAAAGAAATTTAATTACCAAAAAATAAGTAAAGGGTTTTTTTTTATTTTTATATAATATTTGAAACGTATTTAATAAAATTGCTCAATTTTTATATATTACCCACTTTAAATAAAGTTTGAATACAATTTATATACAATCTCTTAAACTAGTGTCCTTCCATCTAATAGACCCCTTCCAATTGTGTGTTACCTATTTTAAGCCATAATTAGCGGAACTCTTCTCTCTCTGCCGTTTCCCTCCTGTAACCAACCCCCATCTTTCCTACTTCTTCTCTTCTTTACCCAAACAAGGACCACACTATATTTACCTCTTAATTTCGTATGTTAAATAAGGTGCTACTGATGCGTTTATGACGTTTGAGATTGGAAAAAAATTATTTAATGAAGTTTTTATAAATTGTTGTTGTATTAAGTTTTAGGATGAAAGGGAAGTGGATAGCCATTATCAGTTACTATTGTTGCTACAATATTCACATTTTTCAATTTAAACAAACATGAATCAGTGTACATGAATCAATTTGGAATTCAATCTCTACTTTTCTTTCTTTAACGAATCGGGTAAGAAAAGAATAATGTATGGTATAGCAGCATACAAATTAAAAAATAATTTTTGTACAAATTTAATAAATATTTGATATATCTACAACAGCATACATACTAAAAATAAATTTCATACAACTAATTATACAATATACAACTTATTTACAACTTATCTACAATTTGTATACGTCATTCTTACTCAGTTAAATACAACTACTACATCATACAACTTACATACAATTTTCATACAAATTTTATACAATATGTCTTTTGTATATATTTTGTGTATGATTTGTATATATTTTGTATGTGGTGTGTTCTTGTATGTGGTGTGTTCTTCTTCCTCTTTGAAATTCGAATCAAAACTTCCTCTCTTAATACAATTTTGATACATATTATAGAATTTATAACTTAAATACAAATTTCATACAACGACTCATACAATATACAACTAATTTTCAACTTTCATACAACATTCAAATTTTAAAAAAAATACAACTACAAATAAAATACAACCAAAATTGAGATATAAACTCCATAGAATATTCTCAATCGTTTGCAATAACAACCCATCCAAACAAATAATATTTTTTGAAAATCCAAATTCGAATTCAAAGTTTCGAAACTTTTTAATAGTTGTCAATGGTGGAGAGTCAAACACCTTCAAAATTTATTGATTGACTGAATAATCAAGCCAAATAATTAATATTCATCTACTGCTAGCCCTACATCGGAATGCCAACAAGAAAAGGGGAAACCCAGAAAAACTCCAAATTCCGGCCATGGCAAAATTCATTTCTCCATGGTTAGAGAAAATTATGAGCTTTAGAAGAAAAACCTTGTATAAACGGTGTAGAAAGAGGGTTAATTTCAAAGAAAAAAAAGAGAAAAATCCTTTAGAAAGAACTGTGATTGGGATTTGTCAGGGGAAGAAAGGAATTGTGAGAGTTTAAAGGGATTTACCAAATTAAAAGGTTACAATCAAGGGATACTCATTTAATACTAATTTATATATAATTGGTAAATTATATATGAAGTTGTAATTAAGTTAAAACCTCTGTAGTAAAGGTAAATAAGTTTTTAATATAGCATAAATAGGTAAAAATCTCTTTAGTAAATACATCATATTTTCACCAACTTAACAGACTCAGTGCGTGTTTTTTTTTTTTATATGGAAACAAAAGAATTTGAACTATGATAGTAAGAAAGAAGAAAAGAAAGAGGAAATCGAAGAGAAACCTGTGAAGTACTTATGAGACAAATAGGAAGTTAGGAACTTCAAAAATTGATAAATATGGAACTTCAGCTAAGTTTGGCCAAATACATACACGGGCATCTTGTCCGAATTTTTTGGGCTAATACCTATTGAACACTAAAAGTGTTCCAATTAGACACATTATTGTGACATGGCAAAGTGTGTATTTCTCGCTCTATTAAAGCGCGTTTAGTATCTCAAAAAGAAGCAAATTCATTTTTTTTTCTCTCTCTTTTTCATATTTTTTCTTTTACTATGGTTTTGCCTAAAGGACGACATACCTTGCCGGAAATTTTCATGGCCGGCAGCAAGCCCGCTTCTTGCTTCTCCCCAAAACACCACCACCAAGAACACTCCGAAAATACCTCAGATCTGGTTTTTTCAATCCCAACCCAATTCTAACACCACCATAATCAGCTATAGTTTTCCTTTTAAATTTCATAATACAAAATCAGTATCTAAATCGATTGCCAGATGTGTGTTGAAATCAGAAATTGCCTTAAAGATTTGCACTTGTCAAGCAAAAACTTATTTGAAATTCCGGACAGCTAAGTAGAGACATTTTCCTTATTTGTCTATCCTCTTTACAGATTTTATAAGCATGGTTTTTTCTCTGTTTATGAAATTTCCACCTGGATCAGTGATGATTTTATCAAGATCTCCTCTAATTCAATTCTAGTTCCCAATTTCTGCTCAAGATTCCCGTTTTGACACTACAACAACTGAGTTTTCATGTTTTAAACTGCAAAATGCTCGTGTAAATATTAAGAAAAAATTACTGAAAAAATTGAAAGAAAATATCGGTAGAGAGAAAGAGTGATCGGGGGTAGCTATAACAGAGTTTTATTTATTTTTCTCGCAAAACTCTTTTTTCCTTATTATTTGGGATCAAATTCCAAGTGTATCTGTCACATTGGTTTGTTTTGCCAGGTCAACCGCATTTGAAATGCACGCTCTTTATTATTTGGCTCTCAGCAAAATGTGTCTTAAGTAATACACTTCTGGAGGACTTTAATTTCGGACAAGTTTCGGTACCCACGAATGTATTTGGCCTTATCTAATATTAATTCCTACTCCCTATTCCCAAATTACTTCTGTCATTTTCCGCCTTTAGTTTGGATTTCCTGAAATGTTGCCCATTTAGCTTTTAATTTTACCAAAAAAAAACTTTTAATTTTACTATAATAGAAATACTATAAGAGACGCGTGGCACTAAATTATGTTCCTCCGGAAATGACATTTATTTTATTAATTGTACTAAAATATTACATGTATTAAATGTGTCTGCGCAAGAGATGCATTTGTCAATCATTATTAAATAATTCATAGTTCAAAGATTGTGTTGGAATGTGTATTGACATGAGAGAAAGATTGCATATATTTCCTGAAAGCTAAAGAAACATGCGATTAACTCCCCACCGATGAGATAGAATTAGTAGTCGTAATGTTTGCCTTTAAGATGTGGCGCCATTACTTTTATAATTGTATCACAAGAAATTACAAAAAATTCAAGCTAAAAAGATATGGTTAGGTCATTCCAGGATTATGACTATTTTTTTTACCATTTGGGCGAGGACTATGTAGTGACAGAAGCGTTGGAGCCGAATCTCAACGGACAATTTATCCCATTCTGCTCTTACAAAAAGACCAGAGCTAGGTGTGTCAAATGAACATGTTGGGCTAATTTTGAACGGATCAAAATGGGCTAAGTTAATAAATAAGTTGGTTATTACTTAGGCTAAGATGAGCTAGATCAAAATGGGCTAAAATTAAGTTATACCTCAACCCATCCAACTTATTAAGCTTTAATTAGTGTATGTTATTTTCTTATGAATTGTTTAATTATCAAATAAAACTTTTTTTTTCTTGTGTTAGTCATATATAACATATCAAGAATTATTGTAAAGGTAGAATACATAGACAGCCCTCTAAACTAGTCCAAATTTTCTGTTTAGACACTTCAACTGGGACTGACCTATTGAACACCTAAACTCTATTGGAAGTGTACCTATTAGACACACATTGCTTACATGTCATAGCACGTGTTTCATACCCAAAGTTAGGTGCATGAATGGATGAAAAGTTTGACATTCCCAAACAAATCAAGTCTTTACTACCGCTAAAATCTGAAAAAACTAATAGAAGCAAAGTGGCAAAATAGACAATAAATGAGAAAAAGATTTTGGCCGGAACCCAATCCATCCCGCAAGATCCGTTTTCATAAGCATGTTTCACCGCATAACTTGACCCCAACAGGGAGTGATAAGTTCTTACGATTTGGGAGATGCATATTATGTTATTATCCGTTGACTACACTTTAGAATAATAGCCCTACCATTCATTAGAATATAACTAAAGCAGTTGTTAAAAAAGATATCGATGGTGGATAATTAGTCAAATATCGAGGCTGTATTTTAAATTTTAATAATTCAAATTTCTCCCGTCGGAAAAAAGAGTTTGCCTGCGTGATAGATTTTTTCGACCAAAATCTTCTACTTTTCTTTACCTCTTTGTCCTAGCCAACATCTGATGGCCCTCCCATATAGCTCATGGTTTTTTGGAGATACAAACGAGAAAAGGGTGAAAGTTCGGATGAATTAGAGGGGATGAACAGTGATGTGTCTTATCTTTGAGAGAGTAGGGAACAAACGGGGAAATAGAGAGAAAAGTGGGGATATGTATTGGCATATAGAGAACATAAGTATAGCATGGCATTAAAGGAGAGAAAAATGGCCTTTGCAAAGCGAGACACAGAATTATGCCATTTCTGGCCTTCCATTGTGGGCGAGCTCACAAAAAATAAAGGGTGGAGGAAAATACATTTACAACCAATAGCTAATTCATAAGATTATCGTTGACACTAGTCATGGTAAAACGGAAGATCCCAACATCCATTAGTCATCTTAAGATAGACTGTTATTCCTATGCCTCAACCACTTAGTACCCCCTTGTGGTTTTATATTAGCACTTCCCCAGTAACCAATGATAGGTCGTCTTTTTTAAAGAAAAACAGCTGTACCAAAAAACTATCTTACGTCCAATATTCCACTTCAAGCATATAATTAAGGATGGCTGGAATGCAAAACCAGCCAATTCCACAAGCATGATCTGCACGTACTCCAGAAATGTATAGTTCTAACATCTCCATCTCTCTTTAAAAAGAAACCCACAAATATGAAGTAACAGAAAACACAGAAACAAGTTGAATGTGATGCCTACAGTTTCTTCACTCACATTAGCATTGTACTAAAATTTAATCCACATGCCGTTAGAATTACAAAAATGCAGAAAAGAATTACTTACAACCAATAAAAAAACCTAAGTTGTTGCTTTATCTAATGAATATATCCTACGTATGCAAAAACCTAAAAGAGTATAAATAGAAGATGCAAGACCAGACCACTTGGATTGAATTGCAAAATCACCTGCCATTTCATGGAAACAGTGAAGGCAATCCCACATAGCGTAAAACTAAAAATCACTACCACCGCACAAGGATTTCCACAGGAACAGGGGAGTGTTAGTTCGGGAATAGGAAATATCACATCTAAAAAACAACAAAGAGGGATAAGAACAAAACTAGACCGTCAGCCTACGCATGTCATCTAAAGCACTTGTGCTAACCCTCACTCAAAGAGGGGTAAGAACAAAACTAGACCGTCACAGCCTACGCATGTCATCTAAAGCACTTGTGCTAACCCTCACTCAAAATGACAGTCAATATCTATCAATATCATCTGAAACTAATCATGCAAATGAGAAAGAGACCCCAACCAAGTAAAAGATATACTCCTATGTAGCTAAAGGTGAGTATGTTGCTGGCCATACCCATGTTAGTAGCTGAAAGACCAGCTATAATGTAGTGGGGTAACAAGCAGCATATATATCATTGCAACTGAGAACATATACTACTATAAAATAACTCATAAATTTCTATCCACTATAGAGATGAAGTAATTCTTAGCTTTACTGGACTATAGAACCCACCATGATGCTTACCGCATCACCAGAATGGTTTCCCAACTGGAAACCCTTCATATTTATCAAAACAAAAAGAGGAGTGGAGGAATAGAGAGACCAGCATCAATAACTCCAAAGGCTCACATCATGTCACCAGAAATTTTCTTCATTTTGAAATAGATGACAAATCTTAACCTAGATATATAACTTTCAACCAGAAAGCTAAAAACTAAAAATTAAATTTAAAAAAAAGGTCGATGGACCTCAAAAGCACATATCTCTGAGTGTTAACACCAGCTCACACCCATTTCTCATCATTTGTTAACTAAACCAACACGCAATTGATTAACAAGGAAAATGCTAAGCGGATTTACAGATCGTACAGAAAAAATAATATGCTTCCAAGCTGGGCATATCTAGCTAGTGTCCTAAGGCTACATAAATTGTTGCTGTCAACCATTGAAATGACAAAGCCAAGCATAGCTCAGAAATTCTTTATCTTGGGAGCTAGGAGTTTCCATCATCAAGCTTGAACAGGGAGATTCATCCAGTTTACCAAAGAGAGAAAGAGAATTCTATAGGACCACCATCAGGGCCTAATATTGATGGTAATACACCCTTTTTCACCATCAGAAAAAAGAAAAGCAATTTCATACTAATCCAAATGCTACAAAGTAATTCTTATACTTGTTTCAACTTGGAGAAACCTGATCATATGGTATAAAAGCTTAGGTTGCTATCTAGATACACCAGATTCATCAGTAGTGTAAGATTAGCTATAACCTCATCATATGTCTGTTAAAAAGCAACCACGAGAATACACGGAGTCAAAGGCAATCCCACAAAACAGTTTAAGATAGTAGACGAGTCACTCATAATGCATCAAGATGATGAGGTAAATCCCTTCTAAGACGATACATCATAGCAATTCGCAAATATTGTTCTATATTGAAACCAAATGCTAATCTTCTTCTCTTCAAAAACTGAAATATCCCCATGACTATCACTGTTCCATGACGAGTTATACAAGAGTCTACCTTAAAAGAATCTTTCCTAACAATGGAGCTGGATGTATGAACCTAAATACAAAATCTCCACAAATGCCATTGAGGTAATATCCCAATATCATTAATTTGAAAGACGTCTGCAAATTTGCCTCTCTATGTACGTGAATATTGACCACTAAGTACAGTAAGACACCCAAATATGAATCTTTCAAAGGTTCAATAAAGGTCTAAACACATGTTAACTCTTCCAGCAAAAATAAACCCTTGTAGGAAAGCTGCCTTATCTTAATAGATCCACTACCCCCTAGTACTGCTTCTACCTAGAGCAGCAGGAGCTCATTACTATCCAAGCTCCATCTAACAGACATAATACTATGTCCGCATGGATGCCCTCAAAACAGGCACAATAAAAACTACGAAAGACGGAACTTTGGACAGCCGAAAGCGAGACATTACAGGGAAAAACGAAGAGCAGAGACAAACATTAAATGAAAGGGAAAGAGGTTAAACTGATTCTCATTCCTTTTTTGTGCTGCACCAGAAAAATCCCTTCACTTGTCAAGAAGTGCATTCTACCATCTGAAGACACCTGAAATAGTTTTGTAACAGAAAACCCAGTGAGCCAATAATATGAGGTAAAGATAAGTATGAATAAAGAACATTAAAGCATCTCATTATCCAAATTACCAAATGGTCATCAAGACTAATAATAACCACGTCCATAACCACGCCCAAATGGACGATCACCTCCATTGAAAGATGGATACGGGCCTCTCCCACACTGCAAGATTACATAGAAAGGAATATCACAACTAAAGTTGAATAACACTAAGAAGGATGAATTGAAACATCATACTCACATCAGAGCCGTAATAATCACGTGTGTAATGATCGCCACCGGGAGGAAAATTATCTGACATAGAAGAGAATAAATACGCACATACTATTGGATCTAACAAACAAGCAGCCTAACACAAAAACTGCAGATAAACTTCATACCTCTATAACGATCCCTGTGAAGAGAATTTGCAGACTCTGAATGATCAAACCGAGGACGTCTGCTCGGCCCCGAGTAATCCGGATCCGGGTCCTACAAAGTAAAAGGGTCAATTCTAATCTACTAAAGTGAGTCATCTAACGCTCTTAGATCTAGGAAAGTAACAGGGAAAGGAGCAGCAGAGAAGTTCCAGCTTACTGTCATAGGAAAGGGCCTCTTCAACCCATGGTCAGTGTTATCATGATAGTAACGGTCCTCAAAGTGCCTACCCATGAATGGCCTGTTAAGTCCTTCAACAGGAAATTGTTGTCTCCTAAAGAAGGCATCATCTGCCTGCCCTCTATCTCCGTGCCTCATTCTATCAAGAAACATTGGACCATCAACAGATACTGGCTGAGCACCACTGAAATTCCACCTCCCACCTGCTAAATTAGCAAGATAGGTTACTGAGATCATTGTTGTGGATATCTAATGATATATGAGTCGTAAATAGGAAGTATACATGAAAAAAGGATGGAAAGAGCTAAGCAGAGAGGTTACTGAGATCTACATTTATTTTTCTTTTATCACAATGAGATCTACAACTATCTTAAACTCAACCACATCAAAAGAATTAGAGTTTGACCTATTCTATGTAGGTAACATGCATGAAACTAACATAATTGTTTTTGGTTTTGGGGGGGGGGATGAAGTTTGTCATTTTCATTTTTAACGAAGAAACAAAGTTTGTTACTTTCATTACCCCGTCCAAAGTTTGACCTTCCACGGATAGGAGGATAAGGGCTACCAAATTGATGTTCAGCAAAGCCCATTCTACCGCCATGACCAGGTACACGCGGGTGAAAGCCCCTACCGCGCGGAAAATTAGCTCTACCAAAAGTATGCCCTCCTCGGGGAAAGCCCCTTCCTGAAAGCACCGCCCATACTGCAGTTAGATCATGCAAAAAGGAAAATTTCTTGTAACAGCTTATATAGAGAAACAAAGGATTTTCTAGAGTTACCCATGGAACCACGGCTAATTCGGAATCCTCCAGACAATCCACCTTTTACAGCCTGAGTTTTTGGTTGAGGATTTGAAAGTCTTGCTCGCACTTTTGCCTAACAGAACAAAGGGAAAAAGTAATAGAACAATACTGTGAGCATTCACCAATCCAATCAAGCAATACCATAATAACACCAAAATCCTTGCTTATGTGAGGAAGAAGGGTTTTGCATGTTTATCTGTTACACACAACTGAACAGCAACAGTCCCGTATCAACTTATAGCCTTCCACAAGGACCACCATCCACTCAAAGAAGCAATGTTATGTTAGTAAGAAAATCTATTAGGATTATATGTATAGAAGTTCAGCAACATACAGAAACCAGAAGCATTTTGTATATTCTGAAGCTTTAGATTATGGCATCAGCCAGCAAAATACTGTAAATAACATAAGAAGTCAAGAATACCTTCAAATTGCCATCACCCAGCTCTGTGTTATTTATGCCCGCAACACAAGCAACAGCAGCTTCATGTGTGCTGAAATCAACAAATCCAAAATCCTTCCGCTTTGCCGTTGACATATTCCTGGCTAGCGTAATTCTTGAAATATCCCCAAAACATTTAAATTTCTCACGGGCGCGATCTTCATCCCAATAAGGAGGGAGTCCATCGATAAATACTGACTTCACTTGAGCCATTACCTCTGGATCTGGATCACGTAACGGTTCAGCAAAAGCTACTTTGGCAGTCCTCTCAGAGTGACCAAAAATAACATCAGGTCTTTGAAGTATTTTGTATGCTGTCATGGCATCAGTGTGACAAGGGAACTCGAGAAATGCAAAACCACGACTCAAACCTTCATGTTTCGGATCGGCCACCAGGTTAATGCTTTGAACACCTTCTACACCATAATCTTTCAGCTTTTGCCTTACCTGTCATAGCCATAGATCATAGTTAACTAGAGATACCTAAAACTCAAATTATGCACATTGAATATTAACAATCCTGCAGACTTTTCAAATTCCTGTATTGTCAAGGTTAAACAGAGTCATACTGAAAATGAGTCAGCAGGGATTGGTTATATCACTTACGGCTTCCTTTGTCCATGTATTGCAAATATTTCCTAAGAATAAGGTGTCATTGTCCTCACTTGGAGCAGTGCCACATCGCTTTCCCCGTATCTGATGTCAAAAGGATAAATTAGAATCACAGTGCAATTCCAAATATATACAAAATATGACTTGGAAAAAATCATACAACTGGGTTTCTCATTTCAGACAAAGCACGGCTTGCTTGCTCCTTAGTTGCAAACTTCACGAATGCGTATCCCTTATTCTTGTTCGTTGACACCTCTCTGTGCATTCGCACATCAATTACCTCTCCAACATGCTGGAACACCCTTTTTAGATCCTCCTCCACAGCATCACGGTCTAACCCACCAACAAATACTTCCAGCTCTTTCCTCTTCATTCGTTCCTTTGCATGGGCAGCCAGTTGAGCACGCTCATCATCCAGTGTCTCAGCTTCCTCACAATGCTCGGGTACACCATCTTCCACAAACTCTTCACCATTCTCTTGATCAGCAAAAGCCTCTATTTTATCTTCACCAGCTTCGTCAACAGAAATATCCTTTCCCTTCATCTTCTTGTCGGTATCTTCCTCCATTCTATCTTCTGCACAGTTTGCATTTATATTATCGCCAGTAGGAGTTGAATTATTGTCCTTTCCTCCCATCAACTCCGATCCTTCTTTTGCTTTATTAGATCCTTCACCCTCCTGAATTTTCAGTTCTGTAGAAACATGTTCCTGCTTATCTGAAGATTTCATATCGCCAATAATCAGATCTTGAGATTGGACATATGTAGTAGTAGATCCCTGATTTTCTGAAGTTCCCACATCGTGGCAAATTTCCTCTAACGATCTCATATCACTGCCAACATTTACTTCATCTAGAGACATTAAAGTATTTTTAGCTGGTTCCTCCTGTATATCACCTGTCTGTTCCTCCTTGTTTCCATTTTGATCTTCCATCACAGAATCACCAGCATCTTGAACTGTGCCCACTAAATTATATGAAGATTCTTCCATTTCCTCAGGATCCATCTCATACATGAGCGTTGGTCCTGCATCATTTAAGTCCTCTGCATCTTTCTCCTTAACAGGACCTTCCTTTGACTCCTCTGCATCTTCCTCCTTGACAGGATCTTCCTTTGAGTCCTCTTCATCTTCCTCCATGACAGGACTTTCCTTTAAGTCCTCTGCATCTTTCTCTTTCATGGCATCTTCCTTTGAACCCTCTGCATCGTCCTCCTTCTCAGGATATTCCTTTGAGTACTCTGCATCTTCCTCCTTGACAAGATCTTCCTTCGACTCCTCTGCATCTTTCTCCATCACAGCATCTTCCTCCTTGACAAGATCTTCCTTCGACTCCTCTACATTTTTCTCCATCACAGCATCTTCCTCCTTGACAAGATCTTCCTTCGACTCCTCTACATTTTTCTCCATCACAGCATCTTCCTTTGAACCCTCTGCATCTTCCTCCTTTGCGGGATATTCCTCTGACTCTGCATCTTCCCCCATTACAACATCTTCCTTTGACTCCTCTACATTTTTCTCCTTTATAGCCTCTTCTTTTGACTCCACTATATCTTCCTCCTTGACAATATCTTCCTTTAAGTCCTGTGCATCTTTCTCCATTGTAGCATCTTCCTTTAGGTCCTGTAGACCTTTCTCCTTGACAGGATCTTCCTTTGAGACCTCAGCATCTTCATCCTTGACAATATCTTCCTTCAAGTCCTCTGTATCTTTCTCCTTCGCAGCATCTTCCTTTAGGTCCTGTAGACCTTCCTCCTTGACAGGATCTTCCTTTGAGTCCTCTGCATCTTCCTCCTTGTCATGAACTTCCTTTGAGTTCTCCGTCTCTTCCTCCTTGATAGATTTCTTTGATTCCTGTGCATCTTCAACCTTCACATGATCTTCCTTCGAGTCTTCTGCATCTCCCTTCTTGACACATTTCTTTGATTCTGCTGCTTCTTTCTCTTTGACAGGATCTTCCTTTGAGTCCTCCGCAACCTTCTCTTGGACAGTATCTTCAGGCACTGCCATTCCAGCATCTTCTGATCTAGGTGTCTTATCCGGAGTAGTTCTAGAAGAAGCCGGAACTTTCTTTACCACCTTCCTCGCAACCCTTCGAGTAGTTTTCCTACCTAAAGCAGGTTTTGCTTCCGGTGTTGATTGAACAGCCCCATCTGCATCTGAAGCTTTTGCTTCTTCAGCTGCACGAAAAATATAGATAACATGATAACATTCTAAATAGAGAACATGATAACTAATCACGTAGTTGTCAACCTTTACCCCCCCCCCCCCCCCCAAAAAAAAAAAGAAGAGATAGTTCACATGCTTTCATCTTGCATACAAAGGTGTTTAAGCTGCTGTTATGTCGAATCAAGTACAATTTGTACAGTCGAAAGGCAAAAAGGCTACCTTTCACAAACCGATCAAAAAATTGCATAATGACGCCATAGAACGACCAATAAAAATCCAATCGGTATCGCAAAATCTAATTCACCAAGCTTTTGATTTAAGTATAATAGAATATTAAGCAGCAAAGAGCAAATTAACCACAACGTAAATATCGAATTCGCTTTATTTAGCACTGGTAAATAAACTTCCCTAAACATTTATCGCGACACTAACATACCCAAAAAGAAATAGAAACAGAAACAATAAAATAAAATAAATCAAAACAGTTTGTAAAGTACCCGGTGATGGGAAAGTGGATCCAGAGGCCCTAACTTGCCTAGCCCTAGAGGGCGGAGTACGCTTCGTCGCGGCAGCTGGCTCAGCCGCCGGCTCGGCAGCGATTTGCTGTTTTCCGGCAGATTTCTTTTCGGCACTTCGAGTTCTCATAATTGATGATCGGTTAAAAGTTACACTACTGAAGAAATAATTTATATCGATAGGAGTCAACTTTTTAAGAGCCGATAAGGCGACGGGGAGGCAATGGAGGAGGACACGAATACCTCGGCCAGCGAAGGAAATGGTATTTTTTTTGTTGTTTTATTTTCTTGTTTAATCATTCGCTAACTAAATTCACTTGCTCTACTTATTGGATTTCTAAGACAGGAACGCGAAATCTTGATTTATGAGGTGAAAGATGTTAGTGTATTGGTAAAGTTCGTATTTTGTACGTGGCACAGCAAAACAAAAACACGTGATAGGTTTTTGAGTCACGAGTCCGAAGCAAATGAGCTACGGCCGAAACTACCCTTCTCCTCGAATCCAGAATCAAAATGTTATCTTTTTGTACTCAAAGCACAAAATAAGTGGGAAAAAAATATGTGAATACCATTTTATATATAATGCATTTTTCATTGCGCTATGCCTTAACGATACATTTGTCCGTTAAAATATAGCGCATGGGTTACATTCGCTAAATTTGAACTTTAAAGTGACGGACAAAGTTTACATATAGCGCCTCTTGTATATACGCTATACCTATAAAAAAACGGGCCAATCTCCTTCCTCGGCCAGACAGAAGCAGAAACACCAAAAACAGTCCCCCCATCCCCTATTTTTTAACCAAAAAACTCCATTGGAGCCCACCCGTCCCCCAAAAATTATGTCTTCTTCGTATTTTAGCAAGCTAACACCAGATCCAAGGCGTTGTCGTATAGTGGATCTCGTCTATTGCTCGTTTCAGCTCCCAAATCATCAAATTTTCACATTTCAAAAAACTTTAAATCGAGGTATTCCGACTTACTTTTTGGTAAAACTCATGTATATTAAAAGCTTATTAGTTATTTTTTACTGTGGTCTATGTTTTTTTTGATCGTTTTGTGATTTAATTAAATTTTTGTTTTTTATCCAGATTAGTTTATTTATGTGCTAAAAAATTAGTAAAAAATATATATTGCTATTTTATGAATAATTATTGTTATATGTGATTTTATTATTGTACGTATATTAATATATGACTTTATTGTTATTTAGTGTCCTTTAGTGTTATGTAGTGCCCTTAATTGTTATGTAGTGCCCTTTAGCATAGTAAAACTGATAATAAATTTTAGCTTATGGTAGTTGACTTTGTTTATGGTCATTTAGAGTAGTGTTACTTTAGTGATTTTTACGATTATGTTGTATAGAATAAAAACTGCGTGTTCTCCTTAACAAACTCGGATAGAGTACTCAATTATGGATTTAATGTATTAGTAGATAATTATCAAATATTAGATAGGAATCATAAAATAATCAGTTGCCAGGAAATTTGGGCAAAATATGACAGTTAACACACAAATCGTTACGAATGAAATAAATTCAATATTATTTACTATTAAGTTTGTAGTATTTTTTATATGATTAATTATTGAATATATCTTAATTACTTATGAAATTTTAATATATAATTCTATTATAATTCAAAAATAACTTTAAAAAGATGACAGTTCAAACAAAACCATGTAGAATTTTAGTAGGAAAATGTTGGAAACTAACATATGAAATATTAATATAGAAAATTTATCAAACTAAGTATTTGTTATATGAATAATTACTAAAATATCTTTTTAGTTATTGAAATTAACAATAATTATTTAATTCTCTGTCAACCCCAAAAAATATCTGAATAAAAGATGATAGTTCAAACACAAACCCTCTCGAGTTTTAGTCAACAAATGTAAGAAAATAACATTAAAAAACAACAATATAGAAAAATTATCAAACTAAGTATTTTTATATGAATACTTATTAATTATATCATGTATAGTTATGAAAATTAATTATTTAATTCTATTATACCCAAAAATAGCTGAGTAAGAAACAAACATATAAAATAATAATATAGAAAATGTAGCAACCTAAGTAATAATATAGAAAATGTAGCAACCTAAGTAATAATATAGAAAATGTAGCAACCTAAGTAATAATATAGAAAATGTAGCAACCTAAGTAATAATATAGAAAATGTAGCAACCTAAGTAATAATATAGAAAATGTAGCAACCTAAGTAATAATATAGAAAATGTAGCAACCTAAGTAATAATATAGAAAAAATATCGATTAAATATTAATATAAAAGATATTGCAATATATATAAAGATGTTAAACAATTAAACAGAAAAATACTTTAATTAATATTGTTCAAGTTACAAACATCGTCATGGAGGTTCCCCTGCGCATCCCAGACCTACATCTCGAGAGCTACTGTTGCTACACGGCAACCATATGTCTTCACACATCTGGGATGGGCAATGTATGTCCCAGACATTCCGCCCCAGATGTATAGACAAAATGTGAGAGTTCATTAGGGATCACCCACTGCATCCCCGTATAGTTAAACGCTTTCAATGTAGGGGTTTTTATAGGATCATAGAGATCAGCCGATTGCAGTTCGACTGGGCGTTGATCACGGCTATGATAGAGAGGTGGCGACCGAAGACGCACATGTTTCATCTACCCATCGGCGAGGCTGCTATCACGCTTGAGGACGTAGAGGTTCTTTTCGAGCTGCCTGTTGATGGTATACCTGTAGCTTACCCGCATGCTCTTAGAGACTATACGGGAGTGGATTACCTTCATATGTTGCAGCGACTCATCGGTTTCCAGCCAGCGGAGTCGACTGCATTGAGTGGGGCCAGTCGATTGCAATTGACGCCCGTTCGGCAGTATCTGGTGGCGGTGGGCGCGTAGATTATGGATGATTCACCGCTAAAGGATAACGATTGACATACAAGATTGTTGTTGCTGCTGATGTTTGGTGGTATATTATTCCCGAACACTTCGGGAACCCTAGTCAGCTTGCGATTTCTACATCATCTGGAGCGGCTAGATGATTTAGCTAATAACAGTTGGGGTGTATCTGTTCTAGCTTACATGTATAGGCAGATGTGTCGGGCGTGCATGGGCACCCAGAGAGACGTTGCCAGATTTTTACCGCTACTGCAGGTGAAAACATAGTCAATTCTTTTCATGATTATAACATACATAGTAAAAAATGCCTTAAATTTTACGTCCACAATCTATATTAGGTTTAGGCCCGGGAGTGGTTCCTGCAGTTCCAACCACCTCTGCCACCGATAGCTCCGGATGCACCACCTACACCGTTTCTCCCTTTAGCTTGGAGGTGGGTTGATAGGCGAGGCTACGCCTGCGAGGTCGAGGCTCGACAAGTATGTCTACTCCCTATAGGGATTTGTTGGATTTACTTGAAGGCGCGCAAGTACATATATACTTAAGTTTACTTGGCCTGGCTTGATATGTGTTGCGTTTACTCACGATTCTTGTGTTTAATAAATAGTTCATATGGAGGCCATACAACGACGCGCTCATAGCTGGATTGCAAGATTATTGCTCCCGTGGTCAATCTATGTAGAGATCTTCTATCCCACTAATATGTCTCGATATAGTCGAGAATCATACCACCGAGCGAGTCCTTTGCCAGTTTGGTCACCCGCAGCTTGTACCTATTCCGCCCACTTGGCACAGGACACATTACCAGCTCGATGATCGCTACAAGGTTGACTAGACATACTTAGATTGGCTAGAGGCCCAGATTGAGGTTTGGGACCACAGGTATGGCCTGATTCCGCCATACCCTCCACTTGACCGTATAGAGGGCGAGTATGAGTACATGGGTTGGTATCGCAGCGTTACTCGACTTCTCGTCGGGAATCCCGTTCATCGTGCTGGTGGTCAGTACATTCCATACGCCGGGAGGCATGAGGCACTGGTATGTTATTTGTTATACTTACTTATTACATTATATTATCCTTCCATAATTAATATTTTATATGTTATGAAGGCTATTATCTTACACCAGTTCTACCAATTGGGACTGGAGATGCTACAACATATAAACGAGGGAGCGGCAATTTTGCACGTGTTTGGCCGTCGGGTTACTAATCTTGTTGCTGACACATTGAGACGTGGCTGAGAGGATGGACGCTTAGCATATGAGGTTGATTATGTGCCGCCCGAGGAGTACCATCATGGGCCATCAGTGGAGCCTGAATGTGGTAGAGGTGGCAGGTGTCGCCAAAGAGGAAGGGGTGGCCCACGTGGTCGTGGTGGTCGGCTAGGACGAGGTCCCCAGCGAGGGGGCATGAGGCACCCGTGGAGGATTTTAGAGATGATCAGCAGGGTGAACACCCTGAGCCACACGATGCTCCTTATGATATGCCATCATTCAGCCTTCAGCTGTCACCAGGGACTTCGTAGGTGACTCTGTCAGCTCCATTGTTGATCGCGAGCACGGTCATTACGCAGCAGGAATAGGATCAGTATTTTCCTGGTCATCTAGAGCCATCGACGGTTGTTGCTGATCGTCCGATACGAGAGGTGCATAGTGGGTGACGACTGAGTTATGGCTCATCACCGAGGGATGCCGAGAATCTTTCACATACTTGATCTACTCCAATGCACCTTGATGTTCCGACAGAGCATTGTGGCGCTACTCAGGCGCAAGTTTGTTTGTATTACTATTATTTCAATTTGTTTTTATCTCATAGATTAGTCAGTAATATCTAAAGTGTTTTTATTTTTTTAATTCGTCATCGCCCGTCACAAAGTCCACATTGTGCGATACTAACTTGCTAGAGACAGATGATCTTATTCAGGAGCCCGTTGAGACCATGGTATGACCATTAAACGCTTTTGCTAACACGAACGTTAGTATTTTATATTTCATATACTAAAATATCTTATTATTATGTAGGTTACTGCTAGCCCAACAACCGCTTCTACCGAGGTTGGCAGCCTTACTGACGATCATGATGCAGCGCATCCTCCGATAAAGAGGCGACGTGATGAGGATGATCCTGATAGCGTAGCCAGGCGGGATGAGATGCGCCTCAGGCTGCCAATACTTTAAAGCATATAGGTTGTGGGACTCGTTGATATGTATTCTTAGTTATATATATGACAATAAATATATAATAGCAAAATTATTTATGTTTTACATAATTTGCGCATGTGTTTTTTATTTTTCAGTTTATTTATTAGTTTGACAATATAACACAAAAAAATATAAGACAGCTTAACATAAATTTAAATTCGTTACCAATTAAAGATAATACATGACACGTACAACATAAAAATAAAATACTACACTAAACACATTTGTGTGTTTGTTT